CACTCACTCACACACACACACACACACACACACACACACACACACATGTGCGTTGTCATAGCGCGCAGCCTGCACACGGTAGCGTGTGTCGGACCTTCACGGCTATGTCACACAAAAGTGTTTCGTCGTCCAACCAAACATCACTCCAGCCTTGCGCGTCATCAAATGCTTCCAGCAGCCCCTTTGCGCCAGGTCAAGGTCCCGCAAGGTACAACTTCCTTATATCTGAGGGGTTGTTACCACCTTAAAAGTAGGTTGATCAATGTTGAGCTAATAACCTACCTGTGGCGGCTTTTACATGTCGTGCCAGAAGTACATCAGCTGAGGTTTTTTCTCCTGTCGTCGGTGGTACAGAGATAGCATGTGGTGAAAAAAAAATGGAGAGTCATCAAAAATTCATGTGGCAAACAATCTCCTTAATTTTATTAGTTTTATCGGTCTCATAAATTTTACTTTTCGGCGGAAGGTGCAAGAATTCACATACAGGTAGCCTAGCGAACATATGCTGATATAGCTTGTCAATATGCGACTTCAAGCGAATTGAATGGCATTGCCTTAATGTCAAGTTAATGGCTACACGCCTCAACCCAATGTATGAATATGCGGATTCATGAGTATCTACAATGGCGGAGATCACAAGAACTCTTAGAGAAGAGCACCGAGATAATTCTACTCATCGATGCTAGCTAAGCACTGAAGGCTTTTTTTTTTGGTGATAATCGTAGTAAACTAGTAAGGGTTGTTTTTTATGTGACATATTGATTTTAACATTCTACAACGGACGACAGTCTCACCTATCACGGACACACCAGTCCAACAAAATAATTCACAGAGGATAAAAAATTTTGGGCTGACTAATAGTTTGCTCTCCGCTTTCTACTGGTTTGAGGAATGTACTCATCTGATAAGTTTGCTCTCCGCTTTCTACCGCTTTCTACTAATAGTATATTGCTTAAATATACAAGTAAATATTGAATAATATGAATATGGGGTAGCATGGGTGAACTATCACATTTTCACAGTTATGGAATACCCACTGAAGTACACATACAAACTCAAAATGCACAAATTGTAACCAATCAAAGAAAATATATTAACAAAGAACCTTCATAAATGCAAAAACGAACCAGCACATGCCATGCACTAAATGTAGTTAACTTTTGTTCGTCATCTAGTACCTCACTCTCCAAAACCTCATTCAATATTTCTTTCTGGTTATGTGACTCATTTGTCGAGCCCCCTCACTGAACTTTAACGGACCCTTAAAAGTAATAAGCATCATTCATGTATGAAGCACAAAAAAAGTTTTGTCTGCCTCATGGGGTTTATCTTTAGAAGCGGATATCAAGTCGAGAGAGAGTTGTATCGGCTAAACCGAACTGTTTACCCAAAGAAGAAATAAAGAATATAGTTGTTGCAATGACTTTTTTCCGCAGGACCAAATCTCTCTTTCCAGATGATACCTCAGTACTTGCAACTTGCACACACACAGGTCATCAAGTTTCAACACGGTGATAACACCTTTTTTTTCTCTCAATTTGTCTCTTATTGAAGTTTTTAAACTACAGAGTCTAACTATCCTGCCTAAAAAGGAATTTGTTCAAGGGTTGTTGTATCTTAACATTCGCCACTTGTGCGGTATTCTTCCTTTTTCAAGATGCTCTACTTCGTTGAGCCTATCTGATCTATATTCACAAGGGAAATTATTTTCTTATTTTCGGTTTCGCTTTCTATTCGTCTATAGGTCACGCTGACTTAACTAAACTTTCATTCTACTACAACAAATATCTTCTAATTTAGATTGGATTAAATCATTTATGATTGAAAATCCTTATATAGAATGAGAGTCTTATTAACATATTTCATCAACTTATCTAGACGTTCACTTCATCTCTAGCATGTAGTTCAAATAGGAAGGGATACCCCGTTCTTATAATGAAATTTTTCAAATAAGATAGAAATTTTAAAATTTTATAATATAATTTTACTATAGAATGATTATTTAATTTTGAGAAATTTTTGTGTTTATGTAGTAGTGTAACCCACACTAGAGTACCCTACTACCCCGTTTAGGTAAATGAGATTGGAGTGAAACAAGTAATAGGACCACCCTCACTGAAGTGTCATATTACCGGTTTAGTATCAAACAATCAATCTTATGAAACAACACTTAGGTACACAAATAGCATGATAACTCATACTGGAGCATTTCATTATCTTTCCTTCACTGAACAATATGTATAGACATAAGAAGTAGAACGACTCACACTAGAGCCTTCATCCTACTACTTTGTTCTTCAAGACTAAGCAGACTAGGCTCCTTCTTGATGCATTTAGGTTCCTTCTCTTCTTTCAGGTAATGTTTTTACCTCAGTCATATATTTAGTTCTTTGTGATAACCTTTGTAGCACACCGAACATGTTTGGAGTTTTTCTGAACATCCGAATACGTTCGGGTGTTCGGCCGCACGCCTCCCAAACGTGTTCGGTCGAGCATATTAAAAAAAAAAGAAAAAAAAATTGTTTTTTATTTTTAACTCGAATTTGGTTACGAATTTGGGCATACGTCCATTGTAAAAGTCATTTATTATTATTATTTTACATAACAATTTTTTTTATTTTTTTTTTATGTTCACGTTCAGAAGGTTT